CGTGCGTGCGTGCGTGCGTGCGTGCGTGCGTGCGTGCGTGCTTGCGTGCCTGTGTGTGTGTCTGTATCCACCATAACTCATAAACTGATACAAATAAAAACACCAAATTTTAAACTTAAGCTTTATTTCGGCGTCCAATGAACTGATTAGATTTTGGGCAGTATCGGAACATCTGGGGGATACTTTATACGTGGTCCTTTTTATATTTTATAGAATATATCTGTTATTTACGTTTGTAGAAGAAAATGGTTCAAATAAAAGTTACTTCTATTATTATCTATAATTTTTGTATTTTGTCAAATTTTCCTGAAATGGTCCGTATTTGAGAAATTTGATAAAATGTGCCAAATTCTGATTTTTAAGAAAATTGTTAAACTAAAAGTTGTTTGCGATATTGATCTCTTTAATTTTGGGTTATAAATTATTTTGCTAAAATGGACCGTAATGGAAAAATTGTAGAAAAAGTGCTAAATTTAAATTTTTCACTATTTTCGTTTTCAATATCTATGGAAAAATGTTTCGAGGTAGATGTATTTGGAAAATGTATATATTTAGTTTATCCTCTAAACATTTATAGAAGTGCTGCAATAGGTTGTACAAAATAACCAGAAAAAGCCTATAATAATAATAATAATAATAATAATAATAAATGTCTTTATTATTTTCATTTTGAATATACAGAATATTTACAAAATTACATATATATCAATTCACTACATTTTATGCAAAATGAGAAATAAAGGGCGAAGTTCAATTCATGTGATGAAACTCACCACTGAATTGCTCTTCCACTTAACCCAAAACAATAAAAAAAATAAAATTATATTATATTTATAAATATATCGCTTGAACAGTTCATAACACAGAAAAGAAAAATAAATAAAAAAAAAGAAATTAGAAAGACATGAGATATACCTATTAAACACTATCTGAGCATTTACAACTATGCAGCATATAACACATTTCTATATGATTTCTTGAATTTTTCATGACTGACAGATTTTAGTGAAATTGGAACATTATTATAAATTGCACATACATTATAAGAGAAACATCGTCTAAACAGCTCTAACCTAAATGGTGGTGGAGACAGTATACCTTTATGTCTTATATTTAAATTGTGCACGTCAGTTCGATAAGTAATTTTCCTGTACAAATATAATGGAGTTTTATTAACAATAATTTTGTGAAATGTACTTGCAGCATGAAGTGTTCTTCTATTATACATGTTAAGCCATCCTATTTCCTTTAATTTGTGAGAAATAGGCAGTCTTCTTCGAATACCGAAAATTAAGCGAAGACAAGAGTTTTGTACCTTTTGAATTTTTTGTTTATATTGGCTGGTTAAGCATGGCCCATACAGGACATCTGCATAATTAAAGATCGAGAGAATAAGACTTTCACATAAAAGCTTCTTGATATCAGAAGATAAGAACTGCCTATTTCCATATATCAATTTGATTGTTGAGTATGCACGCCCAATTAAGTTATTTATATGTTTTTCAAATCGCAAATCAGCATCTAAAACTACACCAAGACTTTTAACATGATTTACTAATTCAAGACGCTCGTTATTAACTAATATGTTTACATTCTCTAATACAGAATCGCGTTTATATCTAGTACCAAAGACAATAACATTAGATTTGCTACAATTTATTTTCAAACAGTGGTCAGAAGCTGATTTTACAAATAATTCAAGGTCTCTATTTATACAAGCACATGCATCATCTACTTTATTGGGGTCAAAACTGTAGTAAAGTTGAGTGTCATCCGCATACAAGTGAGCATTACAGCTTTGAAGGCATTTTAAAATATTGGATGTATACAGAGCAAAGAGTAAGGGACCTAAAATAGAACCCTGGGGTACACCACATTGGAGATCTAAGTAAGGAGAAGACTGACCATTGATCGTAACTAGCTGTTGTCGATTTGTAAGGTATGAATTCAAAAGAGACACTGCATTCTGGGAAAGACCTAAATTACTTAGAATAGATGACATTAATTTATAGTTAAGAGTGTCAAATGCCCTACTAAAATCTAGTAGGACCAAAACTGTGCAATGACCCTTATCCAGAGATTTAATAATATCATCAACCACATGGAGTAAAGCAGTTGTGCAGCTATAGCCTTTACGAAAACCTGATTGAGTTACAGGTAACAAAGAGTAGGCGTCAATATGTTTCCTAAGTTGCACTTCTATAGCTTTCTCTAAGATTTTAGATAATGTTGGCAACATGCTAATAGGTCGAAGATCTTTATACTCTCGAGGATCTGATTTTTTTGGCAACACCTTCACCACCGCTCTCCTCCATGAAAGCGGAAAAATATTATTAGTTAGGCAAAAATTAATAATATGCGTAATATATTGAACAATGTGTGGACAACAATATCGAATTAGTCTTATACTTATTCCATCACCCCCCGTAGCATTAGTCTTTATCTCTGCAATAGCTCGCGAAACAAATAAATCGTTTAGTTCAGTAAAATTGAATTTAGAATCTATTCTACTATTATTATTATAAAATAAGGTTAAATATTCAGGGGGTTGAGATCCAGCAACAGAATTTATAAGATAGTTATTAATATCAACAGGGTTATTAAGACGATCAGGAATGGAGTACTCTTTAACAGGCAAGACTCTATATGTTTTCAGTTATTTCCAAAATTGTTTAGAATTTTTATTATTAAACTCAAATGTACAGAAAGCTTTTTTCTCCCGTTTTATAGCACTGTTTGTGTAATTTCGCATATCTTTATAAAATTGGATATGGGCATCTGACTTAGTGTTTTTATACCTTTTAAAGGCTTTGTCTCTAATATCCATCATTTCCCTTATTGCACCGGTAAGCCAGGGAGCTCGCGGCTTAGTTATCCGTGCTGTCACTAGTGGCATATGTCTATCAAACAAATTATTCAAACAGTTTACCAAAAAATTAATTTTTTCATCTATCCCCTCTTGATCATATATTCTAAAAAAAGGCATATTATACAAGTCTCGCAGAAAGTCGTTTTCATTAAAAAACTTGAAATTCCTATAAGTTACTGTTTTCGGTCCCTCTTTCTCCAAATAAACTTTTAATTTGCAATAAGCAATATCATGATCAGCAATAATACCTGTTACTGGGATGACACCCTTCTCCACTAGCCAATCTTTAGATGTCACAATACCATTTAAAAGTGTGGCTGTTGTATCTGTTATTCGTGTTGGGGTATCAAGAACTTGATAGAGCCCAAAACATTGAAGAATAGTTAACAATTTATCTACTGTAGTATTTTCAAAATTTAAAAAATCTATATTAAAGTCACCTCCACAAATTACTTTATCAAAACTTGGACATAGCGTACTAAGAATGTCCTCCATTTCATCAATGAATGAGTTAGAATTCACCGTAGGGGGCTTGTATACAGCACCTAAAGCAATAGTTATATTTTTAATTTTAAGCTTCACCCAAAGTTGCTCAGAAAATTTTCCGCTACAGTTTAATTTAGTACTATTTATGTTACTTTTGACGTAAATACACAAGCCTCCCCCGGCAGATCCTCGATCTAACCTGTATAAAGTATATCCTTCTAATCTAACTAACTCATTTGAAAATATTTTCTTAAGCCAGGTTTCACATATAATAAAAATATCAAAAGAGTGTTCCGCAACAATCAATTGCACATCATGCATAGATGGCAACAACGATCTTGCATTGAGACAACCTATATACAAAATATTATTCATTTAATTCAATTCAAAAATATCAATACAAATTACCATTAAATACGAATAAAGTTTAATAGGTATAACAAAAACTTGACTACTGATAAGATTAACCTCAAGAACAATAAAAATAAAAATCGCTTACCAGAAGTGAAACTGGGTACGATTCAACTGCACACATTAGGTGCTGCTAAACCTATTTAATACCAAAAAATAGTATAATTTAGAAAAATAATCATTTTCCAAACTAAACAACCTAAAGAAGAAAGGACACCGAATAAGAAAAAATAACATTTTGCTAAATGAGAACTGAATAAATAGTTCAGAATTTCAAAAGATCTTCACTTGAAAGAATTTTGTATACATTTTCAGCTCCTTCCAGCTTGATGAAAATTGTACCAGAATTGGTCCAGGTTTTCCCATTTTTACCAATTTTTGTTATCGCCATCTTTAATAGTCTTGATTGCTCAGGAGTAAGATCTTCTCTTATATTAATTTTTGTAGATTTCAACAATTTCTTATTGGAGTATACCGTATTTCTATAATAACTAGATAGAAAAGTCATGTGTTGGACACATCAGATTTTTTTACTAGTGAATAATATATATTTTGTTTAGCGTTGTGTCCAACCTAATATTTAATAAAAATTTAATTTTTACACGCTGATGTATTCCTTACACTCTTCCGCTATTACCAAGTTGACGCATAAAGAATTACGTTTGACCACCGTAAAAAAAAGATAAAAATTCTAAAAGCCTAGGGTCTCCATTGATTACACCACTAGAATAAAATTGGGCTTGAAAGGACCTTAACACCTTTCGTCCCTTATCAAAATCCCTTCCTATCTGCGGTTTGCCGCATTAAGCCAGAAAATACATTTCCAAACTGTGATAGGAATGACGATAAGTTTCGCTATAGACAAAACCCCGTGACATATATTGATTTATTATTCTTGAAATTAAGTTATGCCTTCACTACCCTTATAATCGTACATTTTACCTGATCCAAGGTGGATAAACATAGCCAGGTTAAAACGAGAGTGCGTATTTTTATTTTTTGTGTTATCGTGGATCGTAAATACTGCTTTTGTGTAACTAATTTAGAAAATGCTTGTTTTTGAACAAATTTTAACTTTAAAAGTGCGTTATTACAGATCGAGTTCTAAAAAGTTCTCTATATTACTTCTCTATAAAATTTTTTTTATTACTTATTTTTATTTGCAATAGTCAATTTTCTAATCTTTTAACTTCTGAGAAAGAAATCCTCTCTGTAATTCACCACCACACTTCTAAAAAAAAAAAAAACCAATAGCACACTTTAAAAATTTTTTTTATTTAAAACAATTGTCTAGTTTAAATTTATCTGTAAATAAAAGGAAGACCATTTCTAAGGTTAATACCAAGTTCCTTATCCCCTTTCTTCAATCTTAGATATCCTTCTTCACCCCATCCAGTTCCCCAAGAATTTTTAAGGATCCAGTATTCAATTCCATCAGAACTTGTGTCATATCCCACATTCAAAAGAGCAAAGTTGATATCATTTATTGTGTTTGGACATGAGGAGTTACTAAAGATTCCACCAGCATACAATTGGATACAGTCTGCATTGATTGTAGAGGCCATTGGTCCATATTTACCTAAATATATTAAAAATTTAGTTTTAGAAAGTGGTTTAGAAGATACTAAAATTTACAAAACTAACAGGAAATTAAAAATGGAAAGAAGTTGCTTAAGAAAAAATAAACAAGAATAAAAGTTCTATGAGGGAAATAGTAGAAAATAGAAATAATATTAATAAACAATAAATAACACAGCTCTACAAAAAAAAAAAATTGTTGCCCTGGATATTTTTGCAAATTTTTATGTTTTCAAGTGCCTAAATTACGAATATATTCATGAAAGTACTGAAAGGCTCTTGTTTTTTATAATTTTTACATATCTTATATTTCGAACAATTATATCGGTTTCTTAGTGATAAAATTTATTTTCCCAATCATGATTAGGCTTCTGCGCAACTTTTTCGCGCATACAAACATCACGTGATCCCCAATCTCAGGCCCCTTGTCTTTTAAAACATGAATTCGTCACAAAGAAAGTGTAAATATAGTAGTGATTCATTTTGTTATATTTTCGGTGTTCATATAACAAAAAACAAAAGAGAAATATCACAGACTTTGTCAAGGAGTTTTATGCTGAATATTTCGGTTTTAAAATAGACAAACTAGATAAATCATGGGTTCCTCATAAAGTTTGTAAGTCCTGTGTTAGGTCTTTACGGTTGTGGATAAAAGGAGAACGTTCTGGATTAGACTGTGGTATTCCTATTTTCTGGATGGAGCCTATAAATTATTTTGATTATTGTTACTTTTGCGTAGTAAATGATAAAGGTTTTAAACCGAAATCAAACGTGGAGATATCCAGACTTAGAGTCTACAAAATGTCCTGTTCTACACAGTGAAAACCTCCCTCGGCCTATTTACATTTCAAAAGTAGTTTGCATGCCGTCAGAAACAATGATGTTGTCAAATTCACAGAAATCGGGACAGTCTACCAGTGAAAGTGAATGGGAAGGTGAAATATCTACACCAAATTAATTTTCTCAAAATGAACTCAGTGATTTAATACGTGATCTCAATTTATCAAAAACTGTTAGCCTCAAGATTGAAAGAAAAAAATTTATTGGCACCAACAGTAACAATTACAACATACAGAACGCGAGAAAGTAAGTCATTACAATTTTTTAGTGAAAATGAAGGACTGGTGTACTGTAATAAAATTGCGAAGATGCTTTTAGATATGGGTTTAGAAGAATTCAAACCTACTAAGTGGCGCGTTTTTATTGACAGTTGTAAAAGAAGTTTAAAGTGCGTCTTACTGCACAATGGAAATAAATTTGCATCAATTTCAATTACCCATTCAACAAAACTCAAAGAAGAATTGGAAAAAATTAATTACTTGGAGCATCAATGGCCGATCTGTGTGGATTTGAAAATGGTTAACTTTTTACTTGGTCAACAAAGTGGATACACGAAATATCCTTGCTTTCTTTGTATGTGGGACAGTAGAGCAAAGAAGCGTCATTGGGAACAAAATGTTTGGCCTGTAAGAAATTCTTTAACTGTCGGTAAAGCCAATGTAATAAAGGAACCCTTGGTGAGCAGAGACAAAATCATACTTCCACCATTACACAATAAATTTGGAATGATAAAGCAATTTGTTAAAGCGTTGGACAAGAAAGGAGATTGTTTTAGTTACATTTGTAGAAAATTTTCGAAGCTTAGTATAGAAAAGTTGAAAGGTGGAATATTTGATGGTCTTCAAATACGGCAATTGATAAAAGACACAGATTTTATTAAAGTTATGAATGTTCCGGAAAGTAAGGCTTGGAAAAGTTTTGTGTTGGTAGTTGAAAATTTCTTAGGTATCCATAAAATACCAAATTATGAATTTCTCCGCAATCATCTGGATACATTTCCGGATAATTTAGGAAATTATAGTGGGGAACAGAGAGAGCAGTTCCAGCTGTATCTAAAAGTGATTGAGTAAAGGTAGTAGAGTCGATGGGATTGTCACAAGATGACAGATTACTGCTGGTTTTTAAAAAGAGATTGTACCCTGAAAAATTACAAAAGAAAAGCTCATGAAAGGCATTATATGGAAACTTAACATATGTTTTCGACATTTTTCTCTCTATTTACTTCGATGTAACTTAATTTTTCAAAACAAAACTGACATTATAAATATATGTTATTTTGTTTCTTGTTTTCCGATTTTTGTAATGTAAAATGAAAATAAAGATTTAAAAGAAAACGAGAGCAAATCTTACGAAATCATTGATAGTTTCATGAATTGTAAGCATAAATATATCCAAAATTAATTTTATATCTAGGGCAACAAAATACCGTAGACCAGTGTAATATTTCTCATCATAAGCGTATACATGGTGACAACCAAAAACAATCATACATAAATTTATTTATTGTAAATAATAAATGATAACCGGTTTCGGCCCTAGGGTCTGATGATGGCCCTACTATAGACTTTTATTTTCAGTAAATTAATCTAAATCTGAAAATCAAATTGTTTTCTTTGCATTTTCAAGTGGAAAATGGTACTACTGAATATATGTCGAAAACTAGATTGCAGTTATTGCATTTTTACGTATTTTTTGCCATAAAACACTAGCGATCCTAGCGGGAATTTTATCGTACCCTAATCAATTGTTTACATTTTCTTGAAAGCTGGTAACACCTTATAGATTTTATAACATATTACCATTAATTACTTACCGATATAAGCTTGAAGAATTGCTTCTGAGCTTTGAGCGACAAAGACACTGTAAGCGCGAACAATACCTTTATTTGTGTCAGCTGTACACACTGATTGAGCACCTACATAAGGATATTCTGATTCGGGCAATAATCTGTAGTCCTGTGCATAATCGAAACCGTTTAGTATATCACCAGTAATATTACATTTATCTACTTGAGGCCCATAACAGTCTATAAATTGTTGGGTACTAAGTTGTTCAGTAACATTATTGATAATAACATTTTGACTTTCGATAGAGGCAGCCTAAAACAAATTCACTAATATAAATTTACTAAACTAATCTAAATTTATTATTCTAAATTTTCTTATCTAAATTGATAGATATCAATTTACTAATCTACATGTTCTTAACTAAATTGATTAATATCAAATTACTTATCTAAATTTACTAATCTAAATTTACTATTCTACATTAACTAATCCTAATTTACTAGTTTATATTTAATAATTAAAAATGATTATTCAAAATTTAATATTTTAATTTTATTCTAAATTTGCTAGTCTAAATTTACTGATCTAAATTTACTATTCTAAATTTACTATTCTAAATTTACTATTTTAAATTTATTAGTCTAAATTTACTATCTTTAATTTACCAATCTAAATTTACTTATTTAAATTTACTATTTTAAATTTACTATTCTAAATTGACTATTTTAAATTTACTATTCTAAAATTACTATTCTAATATACTATTCTAATTTACTATTCTAATTTACTAATCTAAATGAACTAGTCCAAATTTACTAATTTCAATTTAGTAGAAATTTACTAATCTAAATTTACTATTCTACATTAACTAATCCTAATTTACTAGCTTATATTTAATAATTAAAAATGATTATTTAAAATTTAATATTTTAATTTTATTCTAAATTTGCTAGTCTAAATTTACTGATCTAAATTTACTATTCTAAATTTACTATTCTAAATTTACTATTTTAAATTTATTAGTCTAAATTTACTATCTTTAATTTACCAATCTAAATTTACTTATTTAAATTTACTATTTTAAATTTACTATTTTAAATTTACTATTTTAAATTTACTATTCTAAATTGACTATTTTAAATTTACTATTCTAAAATTACTATTCTAATATACTATTCTAATTTACTATTCTAATTTACTAATCTAAATGAACTAGTCCAAATTTACTAATTTCAATTTAGTAGAAAACTTTGAGGTTATAGAAGGATTAAACCTAGGCGACCCACTGTCTTTGGCATAATTTAACTATATACTTTACTGTTTGGCATTTGTAGACGACATTGTTATTATAACAAGAATTTAACAGAAACTAAGAGACATATTATTAGAATAAATGAAAAGTAGACGAAATATATAACACGAACCAAAAAAAAGTTACTAAAGTACGATTCAACTAAGAAAAAGCCACACACATCATACCTGACAAAGGCCGCAATAATTTGCCTCTCTCTCAGGTCCATCCCATTTAAGCGTCAGTGGCGTTTTGGCGATTTTTTGGTTTTTCTAATATAGAGATACAATTGCTTAATAATTTGGCAACGCTGTACGACTGCCGCATGGTCCAGAATATAATTCGAACAGAAGCTATCGCGTAAACATGGATCCCTTATTATTGTGAGCCAAACTTCGGCGTTGCCAAGCTTTTACTTACGAACAAAAATACGGGTTCATCGGAAAAAAGTGAAGACAGCGAGAGTACTATACTCTGTTTTTAAACTAGGAGGAGCGAATTGAAAAGACGCATTTACACAGGGAAAAGTAACAAGATTTTTTGTTACTGACAACGAGTTTCGAAATATAGTCGTGTTCAAAATTTATGAAATAATTATCTTTATCGGCCTTAGTCGGTGAACATCCAATGAGCGGTTAAGAAACGAATAAATATCATAGAAGTATTTTTTTAATTGGTCCCAGACAACGGTCGCAAATTTCACATTATTGTGATCTGAAATGTGTGTCTAAAACGAAATGTCACTGTCAAATTAAAGTCAATATGGTTGTTGATTGATGTCAGAAATACTTTTTTCTTGCTTTAGAAATCGACTTTTTGAGAATAACTATGATCTTTTTAAAATGGATATTAAATATTTAAGAAAATTGTTAATGGAATATCCAGATGTAGCCAGGTTAGTATAAAATATAAAGATTGTTTACATTTTTAAAGATATATTTGTTATAGGTATAAAAAGTAAAAGTTAATCAGTGAATGACAAGTGGATCACACAGTAACTGGTATCTCTTCTATGATTAATGTGGATATTATGGATTATTTAGTGTTAACCCATGGTTAATGCGCTAGAGGGCAAATAAAGGCATTCAAAAGTTTACAAGCCTATGAGTCAGAATTTGTTTTGAAAACTGGAACCAACATTTTCATAACACTACATGTCAACATAATTTTTTTAAAGTGAACTATTCATACATACCTATGTAGTAATTTTAAGTATTTTTAAAATATTTTTTGTGAAAGTAATGTTAACTCATTGTGCCAAATTAAGATTATCCCTAAAGTAGTAGATGGTGTTTTAAATGTTATAATAATTTTGTAAATAGTTTTATTCTATTCTAATAAATAAAATTTGCTTGAATATTTAGTTACATTTTAATCATTTTGGTTAGAAGTTCATCAATTTTTAGTTTTAAAAAATCAGTAATAAAATTATTTTTTTCTAAAATACTTCGGAATTCATCTCTTCATGGTAATCTCCCATCTTTTTACCTTCAAAAACCAATAATGCATTTTCTACAAAACCTTTGGAATCAGCATGTAATATAATAAGGTGTCTTCCCTTTCTTGTAGGGCTTTTCAGGAATTGCTACCTTTAATAGTACTCAGTGTAGAAGGATCCATAATTGTAGATTTTCAATACAATTGCTTACGAAATAAAGTAAAAAAACTAGTAATGGATAAGATATCAAATTATAAAATTTTAAAACTGTCAACAATATCAATTATTAGCTGATGTTCATGCTAAAAAGTAATGTGTGAAACTGACTGTAATCTGACCAATCAGAAGGCTACAGAATTGCCAACTTAAATTCAAATCGCTCCTCTTAGTTTAAAAACAGAGTATAATAGTTCATTAACAGACGAACTAGGATGTACTCCTCTAGTTTCACTTTTTGCACTAGTTGCATAAATAACTATTATTTTAATTGTAATAAAAATCTTAAATTACAAAATTGTGTTGCTATTTTAATTTACTTCCCACTGAATGTTTTGCAAGTCTAAAGTCGAAAAATATATGTAATGTTATTTTAGTTTAGTTATTTAGGTAATATACAAATATTTAAATCATTAAAATTTAACTTTTTAATCAAATAAATGTTTTTTTGTTGGGAAACTGCTTTAATTCTTATTTAAATAAGAGCCTACGCCACTGGTATATTGATCTGGAGCAACGGAGAAGGAATATTTTAAAGTGAGGCAGACGATGACTAGTTGATGACGCCCGTGGCTTTTTCTAAGTTGAATCGTACTCTACAAGTAGAAAGTTTAAAGTGACAACAGAACAGGAAAAAGCTTTGAAGAAGTTGAGTAATTTATTTATTTTGGAGTAGAATTAATTATAAAACCAAATATAATAAAAGAGGTATAGAGCAGATTACTGAAAAGAAACAAATGTGGTGATGTGAAAATACTTCTTGTGTATGCCCCTAATCATTCTCAAATTAGAGTTCGCGCTAAACTGGAACATAAGATTGATTTAACACTGTATCACTTTTGATGTGCATCCAAATTTAATCACACCGAGTGAAATCATCTAGAAGAATCACCCTTGTTTACGAATTTTCAACAAGTTCTGTAATTTTACCTTTTACGCACACTGTCACTATTAATTTCTTAACTATTCTGTGTGACGTACTGGACAACTTGAGATGCTAGATGCCAGAATGTCTCGTTTGAGAAAGAATCTAAAATTATATTCTGTACATTCTTGACATTGACTTGATTTCCAGTAGACCAATATATAAAAAATGAACTCATTCATATTGACAGCTGGTCGGGTTCAAGGACGTTGTTGGCTAAGGAGCATGGGTTCAATATAATACCAACCAAAAAAACAATAGGAATTTTTGTACGACAACAGAGATTTGACTGGTTGATGTGAACTAAATAATTACTTAGTGGGACTGAAATTGTTTAGATTTTTGACGCCGTCATTGGTTCGAGAAACGAATCATTAAAAGTTGGTAAAGAGTCAATATGTTTCATCGTTTTTCTTTAGGGTACACTTTGGATCCAACACAAATGAAATTCATTTTACACTTATCATTTAGAGTGATTCCACCAAGATGAACAAGTGAGAAAATATTTCGGTAGTTGAGCTAAGTAAAATGTGAAGTGACTCATATATACTTACTACAGCGAATGGCCAAGAGCCGCCACAGTCTCCTTGATCTCTAACCGGAAGTACAACCCCCTTTGATCTCCAATCAACAGGAGCTTCGGCTGCCTCTACTGTCTTTGACAATTTATTTAATTTTGCATCTTCTGAATTCAGCAGATTTATTTTCTGGCTTTTCAACATACCTCTGAACTCATCTGACGTTCTATCCGCAAATTTGTTGACTCCTAGGAAATAAGTGGTTTCTCCATTTGTATATCTCTCATTATGTTCACTAATCTGGCGGAGGTTGTTTTGAAATACGGAGAAACGGTAATTTTCTTCTGCGATATTCTTGTAATTCTTTCCATGGTTTTGCTAAAAATCATATCACTTGGCTAAATAATAAATTCTATTTAACAAAACAAATAAATCAAGCCAACAAAATGAGATTATTGTATTGGTGCTGGAAGAGTAAAAACTGATTTAGAATATTTTTAATGAGCTGATTCCAAAAATATATTTTTTCGTACGATCTCTAATTTGTGAGATCATCCAGAACTAAATGACCTTATTAGAAACCAAAACCACTCAAATACTTGACTATTACTAGACATAATCTGCGCTTAGTCACAGGCATTCTGACTGGTCATTTCCAAGTACGAAAGCATCTCCATGTTTTGGGGCTGTCAGAATCCGCACTCTGCAGAGGGTACGAACAAGAAGATAAGACCATCGAGCATATTATTTACGATTGCTCGACGCTCTCATTTATTAGAAGATTTGTATTGGGTATGTATCGGCTAACACCGACCAATATAAGAGAAGCACCTCCTGGCGACGTTGTCAACTACAATAAATCTGCAGGCTGGCTCACGAGCTAAGAGGTGCCTATCATCTTGAGAGGGTGCACAATTGGCCTAGTGAGGCCTACGTGCCGTAGGGGGTAACCCACCCTCCACACGTTACAGATACAAAGATTGTTTGAACTTTTTGGACCTCTCTGTACACAAATATTGTAACAAATTTGAATTTGGCATATATAGGAAACCCATTCAAACGGACTACTTCTAATCATTCTTACCAACAAAAAATGTCTTCTTTTTATTGTTACATTCACAGACTTTTATCAATTCCTTTAAATAGATATAATTACTTTCAAGAACTAAATATACTTAAACAAATTGCTTTTAATATCTGATAAGATCCTAATTCAAACCTTAATCAACAAAATTAAATTCAAAAAATTTCAAAAATTAACTTATTCTAACATTAATTACGTTAATTAATTTTACACATAATTTTCCTTTTAGAAACATCACTTAGACAAGAGCATTTCTAAATTTCGATAACATTAAAGTTTCGTTTAAATCAATCAATAAATTAGATTCCCATTTAGTTAACACTAAGGATAAAACCAACATCTTAGACAATAGTGGAGTGTGCAGGTTTCAGTACAGCGATTGCAATACCAGGCTACATAGGCAGAACTTGCAGATCTTTGGGAGTATGTATAAGTGAACAGATCAGAACGCCGGACAAATGTGCTTTTGGACTTAATTTGAGTTTTAATCAACATAATTTCAGCCCAACTAAAAACTCCAATCTATTAATTAACTTAAACACAAAATTTTAATTTATTAGATTTCCACGAAGTTGTTGAAATTATCTTCCAAAGAGACAACAACAACAACAACAACAACAACAACAACAACAAGAACAACAACAACAACAACAACAACAATAACAACAACAACAACAACAACAACAACAACAACAACAACAACTGCACATGTCTCCTAAATTGCAAAAATATCTACAACTTTTGTCTCAACACTCAAGTTAACCTTAGGAACTCCATAGACAACTTTGTTAACCCTTAATGATGATATAAGTCCAAGTCTCTCAATAAAAAAGCTTTTCTCCTCCTAAATGATTGTTCACTCATCAAAGCCTACCTCTGGAACCATGGCACTCCGTTGTTTTTTGGTTCCCAATTTTTGTATCCCTAACCATAAGTACTTTTAGGACTAAATTCATCTATAAGGACTACGGGTTGTGTTATACTATCTTTGGCTCTCTGAAAAACGTTTTGCAGAGCCTGGATTGACTTACGTAACTAATATTGTTGTTTTGTCTTAACACTGATCCATTTGAATGTTTTAAAAAATAAAATTTAAAATATGTAATTAAATTTCAAATTTGATAATCCTTCAAATGTAACTTCTTTTTCCAATCACAACTAGGCCTGAGCAACTACATATTGAGCGAGGCCATATTTGTTTTTCCCTCCCAATGAGTATACACTCGTTTTTTCAACGTAAATTTAACTTTCTATGGTATAAAATAAAACTCAACGTTGATATTTCAGTTAATAAGTTTTACGTACAGAAACTTACTATTTTCTAACGTATTTTTCTAGTAATTTTCAACAGAATGTTCAAAGTTTGTTAAAATAATGCGTTTTTTTTTTATAACTTTTGGTTGCAAGTAACATTATTTTCCTCGACAGGTGCCACCTGTCACCGCTGTCATTCTAGCCGTCTAAAACATGGGAGAAATCCATTAAAATTAAAAATAAAAATTTAAACAATGGCTTAATAAACTCATAATTTCAAAAATATTTTAAAGAAAATAACTATAAATATTTAGCAAGGTGGGACACTCCAACAATTAATGTTTGAATTAAGAAATTACTTTAAAACTTTTTGGATACCATTATGGATACAGTATGTATTTTTAATAATTATTTTTCAATTATTTCTAAATTCAAATTTATCACATGGTTGTTCCTTTCATTTTAATTTTTCTTTTAATTGTAAACACAATTCAATTTAGACAATGATTTTTTGACTCAAATTTCTTGTTCATATTTTATATTTACATATTTTTGTTTCACATATTTACACCCACAATTATTGTAGATAAGCACTGAAGATGGCGTTATGTCGAAAGCGCTTTGAATTTTAAATAAAACAGTTTTTACACCAAATACCTACAAGTTTTTTTTGATAATCTCAGCTACATATACACAGCCTTTAACCTCTTTTGGTTCCTTTGATTTATATTACTTACCTTAAACGTTAACCATTGCTCTTTTTCTGATAGAGCATTGATACCAATGATGCAGACAAATGCTACGATGATAAATTTCATCGTAAATCTGAAAAAAAAATATATTATTTTTTAAATTGAGTACACTTTTTAGATATTACTTTGCTTAAGCACATTGCTTGTAGATTATAAATTCGCGATAAATAAACACAATTTCGTGTTACGCTAAGCATCTTATTTGAAATTTTAACTCTTAAGATAATATCACTTATTACTCATATTATCAATGATTATTTTCCTCGTCTTTGATATTTTAGCCAATGGCATCAAAATTTACGTTATCGTTAGAACCAATCAGAACCAAATAAATCCGTAAACTTGTGTATGTACGTAGACGTCAACGTAAAGGATATTAGAATACGCATGCGTAGATTTCAATTTTCAAGTATACGTTAACGTTCCTAGCATCACTTTTAACTCTCTAATATCTCGCGAAACATTTCTATTTCAATAACTTATTGTATCTTACCTCACAAAATGTTAATATGTAATTATGTTAAAATAAAATTATATATTTATAATACAGTTTAAGACTGATTTGTCTTAAGGCCCTTCTTCATGTTGGCCAATGCGCTGGTAAATATTATTGGTAATATTCTTGACTATACTCGAACAATTTTTAAATGATGGTGAACCATCTTACGGATTACACAGTGGTCAATCGGCAACAATGTATCTATCTGTAACGTGTGGAGGGTGGGTTACCCCACGGCACTAATGTCTCATTAGGCCCATTCTGCATCCTCCTGAAAAGATAGGCACCTCCTAGCTCGTGAGCCAGCCCACATATTTAATGTAGTTGTCAACGTCGCCAAGAGGTGCTTCTCTTATATCGGCCGGTGTTAGCCGATACTCGCCGAACACAAATCTTCTAATAAATGAGAGCGCCGAGCAATCATAAAGGATATGCTCGATGGTCTCATCTTCTTGTTTGCACCCTCTGCAGAGTGCGGATTCTGATAGCCCCATGATATGGAGATGCTTTCGTACTTGGCAATGACCAGTTAGAATGCCTGTGACTAGGCGCAGATTCTGTCCAGTCATAGTTAAGTATTTGTTTGCTGCAGTGTTGTCAGGATAACTTAAGAGCTCCCTGGCAACTCTGCAGTTTCTTGCTTCATCCCATCTTTCCTTGAATTTCACAAGGGAATGTTCTTTGATTAGGTCTGTCACTGCCGATTTTGTCAGGCCAATAGAAGGGCCAGGTCCAAAAACTATTTGGTGGGCTGCTTTCTTGACTAGTGAATTAGTTATCTTTCGGTGTGGCGTGACCTTCAATCCATCTTAAAGTGACCACGTTGTTGATGAATACTTCGGCCAAAGCTTCGTGACATTCTAGTACTAACTCTGACTAAAATCGTGGTTTTTTCAGGGTGAATAGTGCTTGTCTGCTATCTGTATAGATGAGCATGTTCCTTCCAGTAATATTGTTTATGGTTATTTCTTTTGCTGCTATGAGACTCCCAGTTAGCTCTGTTTGAACTATACTGGCACTATTGCTCACAGCCCATTTTATGTTTAGGTTTAAGAATCTGGAGTATATTCCACATCCTGAGCCTACATCAGGTTATATTCCAACCATGCAGAGACGTGTCACTGTCGTCAGAACAACCTCCTTGATGTAAATATCAAGAGAAGTGAGACTAAGAATGACTTCCATCGCTCTAGTCGGTGTTGTTTTCATGTCTCCAGTTATGTTGAGACATGCTGTTCTTTGAATTTGTTTTAGTTTACGGATAGCTGTTAATTTTTTAGTTTACGGTACCCAGACAACTGCACCGTATGTTAGAATAGGTCTTATGATATATTTGTAAAAAGTCTATCAACAGGTTTACGAGGACCAAAGGACAACGACCAATTGTCGCACATATAGGTAATATAAAAGTGGTTTTTTAAACGACAGTGCCTTAGTTTTCTAACATAAAAAATGGGGAATTATCACGAAGACATGGACGCTCAACGCTTTGAAGAAAGATTGGTTTGAAACCCTACTTTCACGCATCGAGCCAAATTCAGTGATAGTACTTGATAGTGCTTCTTATCACAGTTGCTTAGTGAAACGTCTACCCACTATAGCCCCTAAAAAGCAGTGATGCAAGGTGGTTGCGACAAAAGGTAATTCCCTTTTCTGAGGACATAGTTAAAGAAAAGCTTATAACCATAATTAAACTGCATCGAGACAAATATCGTCAGCATGTTGGCTCATGCTCGAGTTATACCCGTATTAAGACTTTCTAAATATTAATAATTAAATAATATTAATTTATTATACATCGATCTCATGCTCTTGCTTTTGTCAATTTGTTTTTATTATGCAATGAATCATGAATCATAAACTGTGATGTAGATGGATGCTGCTATACTATAGTGGTTCTATCTACGGTTTGTATAATCTAAGGAAAACATTCAGTGGCCAACCCTGTATAGTATCTTTAAAATATATCTCTAGTATGTAAGTTTTTGTGTAATATTTTTGTTATGTGCACGTTTATGAACAGTCAAATATAACATTTTTTCTTTGTAAGTGATACCTCTCATGATAAAAATGTTTTTTTGTCTATGTTTATTTTACTCTATAATTGGCTTTGTACTGTTAATTGGTGTAATAATAAATAAATAAAATAAATGAATAATCTTTCATTCTAAATCATTTCTATTATAAACTTACCTGAATATTATAACAATCAAATGGCATAATCTACGAGTACCCTATATATAAATTTTTTTTACCATTTTTATCTTATCTATTAATTTTCTATAAAGTGGAGAGATACGTACGTTTTAAAATGTATGTGCCTAAATTAAATGATTAAATAATTTAAAAATGTAATAGGTAATTTTTATTGGTATATAATTTCTAAAATTCACGAAAATTAACCAAAATTTAAATTTACAGAGAGTTATAAAATATTTTTAATCAATAGGTTTATATTTACAGATTTTAAATTGTCCTCAAAAAAAATTAAAGCGAAGAGAGTATTCATCTGCTCGAATGAGGTTATTTTCATAATCGAAAATTAAGTATTTTTATTTTCGTTTAAAAAAAAAATTCAAAAATTTAGGAGAAGTATATTCGCATTTTTTGTATACCCTAATTTTTGATAGCACTTGAAAATATCGAAAACGATGTTATTAAATATTTAATAGCAATCAGAATTAAAAAAAAAAATATTACAAATCAAGAATTTAACAAAAAAAAAAAATAAAAATTAGCAAAAATTAAAAATCTGCAAACAAATTCATTTTTTTAATTTTAAATACTTCTGAACGGAAAATAATATTTAGTATTGAAAGAATGATAGATCTTAGGTATTTCTACACGATGTCAAGAGGGTGGCATTAATACGAATTTATAGAACTAAGAAGGGTGTGTGTACGACGAGAGTCTGAATCTGATGGACTTCAAGTTTACGAATTCGGACATCAATGCGTATGTGCTGAGATGTTGGAGGTTCCGGGTTAGACTCCTTGCGGTCTTTCACACATTTTTTCTTTCTTTAGGACTTTCTTTGGTTTGTATGAGGGTGTGATTTTTTATGATTTCGTAGAAAGAATTAGGGATTTTTTATTTTCCGAATTTTTAAATCAGTATTATTTTTTGGGTTATCAGAGAAAATGGACCGAAAACTATTACTAATATTGTGATATACTTTATTCACCGAATAAAAACGTTCAAGTTATACTATTTGTTTTTTATAGATATCAAAAATGCAATAAAATACAGTGGTTTTTTTTAAGAAAACAGATTTAACAAAATAGTGTTGGAACCGACGAGACGTTACTGGTGGCTCACCCTGTATAGTTACCTATAAACAAAGAGAAGACTATTGGAAATAGTAGTCCATTCAATTCAAATGTATGCATCAGAGATTTGGAAAAATTCTTTGCATAAAAAAATGCACCGAACAAAGTTAGCACAATTACAAAGAACGATGGCGATCAGAATCTGTAGAGGGTGTAAAACAATATCTATGGAAAGCAACCTCGTTATATCCGGAATTGTACCCATAGGCTTGATGATTAAAGAAAGATATGAAGTTTAAGGTAAGAGCATAGCTAAAAAGGAAAAAGCTAGAATAAAAACTTTAGAAACGTGGCAGAGAAAATGGGAAACAATATGAAACAGAAAGATGGACGTACACACTCATACCTAATATTGAAAAATTGAATAAACAGTAGGAAACGTCACATTTCATATTACTCAATGTCTAGCTGATCAGGGCTGGTTTATAGAATATCTTAATAGATTAGATGTAATTAAGCAACAAAAATGCGTGTTCTGTCTGAATGTGGATACAGTAGAGCATACATTGTTTCAATGCGGAGAATGGAGAGAGATCAGGCTGGAACTAGAAGAACGTATGGGAAATAGGCTCTCTAAAGAAAACATCTTAGATGGTATGACCAGTAACATAGAACAGTGGCAACAGATAGGTAATATGATAAAAAAGATACTGAGTCAAAAGGAGAGAGATTTTGGAAAAAAGGATGTATGAACATAAACTAACTTGTTAAGAAGTACCTGCGACCATCTTTACATTACGTCTCTTCAAAGTTATGACGGCTGGTGATTCCGAGGGGATATTCCTGTGAAAAAGAGTGAAAGTTGTTTAGTAGACAGAAATCTGTCTCACGACGTTTTACCTATCGTTATTGGATCTAACGGCTTTCTTGCTAATTATAATATAATTAAACATTGATTACATCATTTCAGATAAATATAATTTAAGGATTTTAAATTAACTCAAATTTCAATATTGAAGTGTAATTTATCTACCTTTATCTCATATATGCGCTAAGACTTTAAAAACACTTCATACGCAGATTATGTTAATTTAAGAAGTATCACAAAGAAAATACTAAAATTTATCTGGCTTTTGAATTCCAATTTAATGACAGTGTTCTTTTAATCTCGGCTAAATGTAATGGAAGCAATTAATTAGAAATGCCAAAGAAAGATCTTTCTATATAATTAACCGAGACAGATGTTCACAATTTTGTCGCCTTGACGAAAGATCTACTTGATACAAATTCAATCCTGTAAGCCTGCAAAGGAGGACGAGTTAAATGTTCCAGCAATTGAAAGGCGAGGGTTTAAATTGGGTCAAAATAATTGATTACTTTAACTAAATTGTTGGGATAAGTGTTGATAGGCTATTGGCTGTTCAAATTAAGCGATACGCCTTCTGTGTACCATTTTATAAAATATCCTTAGTAGGCTTGTTAGTCTAGAAATATAGGGTGATATCGTCACCTGATTTTCACTCCCGATTGACTTGCATAAAG